AATCATAAAATGAACAAATTAAACACAAATATTATTATCATTAGCATAGCAAACGGACCTTTCATTTCTAATGGGGGTTTAGCCAACTTCTGTGACCGTCTATGTTATGGGATCGCGTGCGTTGTTAGCTAACAAACAGAATGCGAGTAGCTAGGCCTACTATATTTTACATAGCAGCCTACATCATTTTGAGCAGCATTTTTGGGCGATGATTTTTGTGTTGTGAATGTGATGTGTCCTGTTCTTCTAGCCTGCAGAATGCACGTGCCTCCTTAACGACGTCATTATAATAATTTTTAATAATAATAGTTTGTTCAATTTAAAGTATAATTCGATTATTTTGATACTTAACCCTTTCATGCCTGAATTGACAACCTCAGTCAAGATTTTCCCGTGTTTTTATACGTCATGAAAATAACTTTTATTTTTTTTACACATATTTTTCAAAGAGATTTTAATATGTCGACTTGAGTAGACATTGTGCGTTTTTGACGAGATACTGTTATATAAAACAGAAATAAAAGAGACTGTACATGTTTAACAAACCAATGATTAGATACAAAAATATATAAAATAAATTATATATATATATATATATATATATATATATATAGGCCTATATAACACAGTCACAGCTTCAAGGTTAACAATGACTTCTTAGATGTTACTTGATACTACACCATTTTTTTTTAACCTGGAAGAGTCTAGAAGGAATGGGTTGATTTTCTGGAACAATTTGGCATTTCTGACTTGCCGTCGGCCATCTTGGTTGGATTTGTTTTTTTACAACGGCTTGGCACTCGGTGTCAATGTATAGGATGATCCACTGGTGTCCACTGTAAAGGTTGATGTGCTACTATCCCGTCAAAACTCATGCATAAGAAAAAAATTTGAACAGCTGTCCATTTAGTGACCTCTGTTTGAAAGGGTTCAAATACATTCTTTGTCACTGGTCATGGATGAATGTACTTGTGACTAACCTAAGTTAGGCTACCCCTGTTGGCAGTGTATATGGCCCTTGTGTTTGTTTGGTTTAAATTATTTCTATAGCCTAAATGTTTGTTTCTAATTATTTGGTAACTTTTTTCTAGTCTGAGGTGCACATTAGACTACTAAAAAAAAAAACACCAAGAGATTTATTTCTTTATTTTCTTTATTTTGGTATTTACATAAATCATTAGTTTTATCCTCATTTGCAAAACTAACCTTCTGGGTTCATGTCTGCAGCATGGTTTCCGGAGGTGGTTGTCTTCTTCTTCTTCTTATATGATTCCGGCAGTGTAGACGCTGCTGAGCGTATTACTGCCCTCCACGGGTCAAAGTTTGTACTAAATTCTTACATACAATCCTGTGTCATGCAGGAATTGAAGAACTGCTTTGGAGATCAGTTTATGCTCATCACTGTGTCCAAACAAAGAAAAGACAGAAAAAGCCTTAACTCCATATCCTGACAGTTTACTAAAGAGAACATTTCTTTCAACCCTATACTTTCTGCATTCCAGGAAAACATGCCCTACAGTCTCAAGACTCCCACATTCACACAAGCCAGAAACATGCTTCCCTACAATGTGCAAAGAATAATTCAACCCACAGTGCCCCAATCTCAATCTGCACATTTTAACTGAGTCCCTGCGGGACAAAAAGTTACATGAGCATCTTTTCCTAACTTCAGGTTGTATAGAAAAGTAATGTCTACCCCTAATTTCCTTTTCCCACCCTCTCTGCCATTCTTTTATTAAACTCTCTTTAATTTTTTCTCTTAATTCCACTCTTCCTAATAATAAATGAACATCTACTTCTCTTCCTAAGCTCTCCTTTGCAATATTATCCACTCGTTCATTCCCACTCACCCCAGCATGCCCGGGGACCCAGCAAAAACTGATGTTGCAAATAAACCTAGTACTAAAAACCACATTCAGGATGTCATTGACAATGTCAGGACGAGATTTAGATTTTCCTACTTTTAAATTATCTAGAGCACCTACAGAATCAGAGCAGATAATAACTTCTCTAGGTTTGACTTCCTCAATCCACCATAGAGCCCATAGAATTGCCATTAATTCAGCAGTGAGGACAGAACTTCCATTAGAAATACGCCGACTAATTTCCAACCCTAACTGTTCCACATACACCCCAAATCCAGCTCTCCCACTAACTGGATCTCGAGATCCATCTGTAAAAATAATCATTGTGCTCTGCCTAATTGAATTAAGATATTCCCCTATTTTTGGTGCCACTTTCCACTTATCTTTTTCCTGTAAAAAACCCAACTCAATATTAATTTCAGGCAACATCCAATATGGTATTGGTAAGGTGGTTGTCTAAGAGGACGCGTGGCCTTTCTGTAATAGCCGCGTTTCCACTGCCGGGCTAGGGCTGGGCCAGAGCTAACAGCGAGCCGAGCCGAGCTAGTGGCCTCGGGCCTCAAGCACCGGGCTTGCGTTTCCACTGCCGGGCCAGTAGCCCCACAGCGCTGCATCAGACCCCACCCCTAACACGCCTTTCAGGATCAAACGTCATAAAACCCAACCCATTTCAGCGGGTATTATGAATTAATTTATTTTTTAAATTAGGAAGATAGCATGTATTAACTCACCTGCCGTAGTGGCTGCAATAGTGTCCCGAGACCAGTACAGGCGATTCTCCATTTCAAGCAGCGATTTTTTGCGCGATATAACAAGTAGGGCTGCGCAACACGGGCACGTTTTCAAGTTATTCATTAATCGTTAACCGAGGCCCATCGGTTAATACTCGGTGTGCGCGCCGCAACCTCGAGATACAGAGTAAATTTTTAACACCTTTAATAACTGATTGGACCCCATTTGAAACGAAATTAATTTATAGAAATAAAACGCAGCAAGTACGGAGCAGTTAAAGCCCCATTTCCATCACCCTTCAAACTGAAATTGCCAATTGAAAATAAGCAAAACGTCCATTTCACAAAAACTCCGTGTCTGCAAATAATAATAATAATAATAATAACCATCATCATCATTATTGTAACATTTTATTAGGCTGCATATGTAGAAGACGCCTTTATCCAAAAAAGGAACAGAGCACAAATAAACACAATATTTTTGACAAATATCAGCGCATATCCAGTGTGTGTCGAGCACGCACTGATGGCTGCGAGACGCCCACCATGTGAACAGTTTCATTGCATTTCTTTCAGTGGAAACAACTTAAAATACTCTTTAATTTCTGGTCATACAGAAAATAATAATACATTATTCGCAAATACATTTATTTATAACAAGAAAACGTTGTGCTTTAACAATTAATCAAGACGCGCTTCATGATCTCCATGAACTGAAGCGCGAGACTGAAACAGCCACCGCATTCGAATTTGTTTGTTTTAAATTGGACATTTAGCTTTAGTCTACAGGGGTTATATCCTTTGTAGATTAAAGCTTTAAATGTCCAATTTAAAACGAACAAATTCGAATCGAAAGCCAATATCTTCTATGTTTATGTAGCTTAATTTCTCTCTAAATGTGCATCCGGAGATGGAGATATGTTTTTAGCCGAAAATCATTTAGAAAACAATAGTTTATTAATAAACAATTAATGCCTCGTTATTTTATATTATTTTATTATCAGACACATTTATTATAGCCTATAAATCACCCATAAATCCCCTAGGCTGTCTGTGGTTACGGCTCTTCTCATTCAGCACTGCGGGGAAAATATCATTTCCAGGTTCTAATTTGGCCTCAGAAAACCAGTAAAATATATATTTTTTTCATATTAATTTGTCAAATATTTTAAATGTTTAAGGGGCAAAAAAAATCAAATATCTGAAAATTCGTCGATATGTAGCTATATATAGCCTATATATTGTTGCGCAGCATTTGGCATAGGCCTACAGTTCAAATTAAAATGTTATGCAATTTTAACCGGTTAATCGGTTAAACATGGACACCCCTATGTGCATCTTGCTTCAGATCATAACGTTCCATAACACCGATAAACTCCGCCTTTTACCTTGAGCACGCCTCTAGCCCGAGCTGGCCCCCTCTGGCCCAAGGTATTCGACGGGCCAGAAATCCTGGCCGTTGGCCCTGAGGAAGCACCGATCAAGCCCCGGAAGTGACAGTGGAAACGCGACTGGCCCTGGCACGCACTAGCACGGCCCGGCCCTGGCCCGGCAGTGGAAACGCGGCTATTTTATGCCATCCCAAAGAATTCTGGGTAGTGTAGGCATATACCATTTCTCAATGGGAGCAGGGGGTTATTGTTTCATGTTCATTAGTAGAAATGTATTTGTTTATCATTGGTATTATTTTCCTTGTATAATTAAGGTTGATGTAATTTGAATAGTATTTTCATTTTCATTCAGTCTAGTAATGTATTATTTGTGTGAACATTATTTAAATTCCCTACTACTGTAAAATGGTTGACCCTTTCAGTATAACAGAATGTATGTTTGTGAAAGCAGTTCTGGGGAGGGTCGGTCATATTGTGTGGTTTTTGTTTATGTTATTTTTTATTTGGAAGTCAATAAAGATTTCACTGACTGCAAGCAGTGTCTCCTGCCTTTGCTCTGGTCATGTCTTCACAGTAATGTTAGTTATATCATACAGTACAGGTGAAGATAATCCACTTTGAATCATGAACAAAGACTTCTAAGAAATATAACAGAAATATAATTATGATATAATATAATAAATATAATTAGAAATATGAAGACGATGCACTCATATGAATGGGAGAAAGTGCAACTTTGACAAATGTTTTAACAATATTTGAGCAAGTAACAACGTTTATGGGACAGTTTATGTCAGATTGTTGTTGCTGATTTGAAATATGTAAATGTGAATGTGGCAAGATTTCAATTATCAATCACTTAAATGGACTTGGTCTTGGCTGTCCAAATAGCTATCATGAGGTGTTGGAAATATGGTCGCCGAGCGACTGTCATAAATCAGACAAAATATTGTTAGTTAGTTGATTGATCTAAAATTGTATCTTCACTTTGTTTACCACAAATTTTTCTCCAGCCTTCTTCTCCATCCTGGGCAACGCAGCCGTCCTGGTAGCAGCCTCTTGGCGTCACAGTGATCTCAAAGCTCCTGAGCTCCTCACGGTCAATCTGGCCGTGACTGACATTGGTATGGCTCTCAGCATGTACCCACTCTCAATCGCCTCTGCCTTCAACCACGCCTGGATTGGAGGTGACCCTTCCTGCCTGTACTATGGCCTGATGGGAATGATCTTCAGCGTGGCCAGCATCGTGACTCTGGCCGCTATGGGGTTAGTGAGATATCTGGTGACAGGAAACCCTCCGAAATCAGGTACATTAGGATCACATTTAGTCCCAAAGTGAGATTTAAAAACATTGCTTTATTGATGCTGCATCCAAGCACAAAAGGTCAATGTGTGTTGACCTGTCAATGAACTGTTGTTTTATTTTTATATATGAAGAGTTCAGATGCAAAAGCCTCTAAATGCCATTTGAAATTTTCTTCTTTAATGATGATTTTTATCAAACTTGTATATTTAAGTTCAGTAATTTCACTTAAATAACAATTAATAGGTAATTATCATTGCCATTTAAGTGAAATTACTGAACTTAAATATACAAGTTTGGTAAAAATCATCATTAAAGAGGAAAATTTCAAATGGCATTTAGAGGCTTTTGCATCTGAACTCTTCATATATCCTGGGCAATAACAGTGGAAATTTCTAAGATTTGTGTCAAAAACTAAACATTGAGAAATATTCACTGTAAAAAGTTTGACAACTAGCCTGGTCTCCCCTATAAAACGAATGGTTTTACACAGGCACAAAACCCCATTTGTACTAGCAAATGTCATAGAATGTACTCACAGTAAAATAAGAAAAAAATAGATGAAACATCAATGTGTTTGTATTGTTTGATGATAAAACAAGATCATAAAAGGCAGTAAGCCACAAAAGCTACACATGGTATGAAGTTGCTGAATATAAAGGGTACCATTATGTGCTTTGCTGAATGAAAGTTTTCAATGGTTGATGAAAAAAGAAATGTAGGCAAAGATTTCAGAAAAAAAAAAACAAGAAATAATATTTTCTTCTATATCCAATTATTGAAAATAAGTAGGTGGAAAGACTTGATTCTTTCCATCTGTTGTTGATTGTATGCAGATCTGAATGTGAGCTTGCAATGATTTAAGTCTATTGTTTCTCTGGAAGATTTAGAAAATACAATGTAAGAAAAATTATGTTATTGTCTGCCAGGACATTATCCATTAACAGACATTTCCTTTAACCCTAAAACACAATGTTCATAATTCAATATATGGGTAAAAAACCTGTGAAAAATCAATGCTGAAAACACATTTGGCCCTGTTTTTAATTCCAAGAAATATATTCATGTAAACTTTCCAGAAAAGGTAGCTTGTATAAGCTACTTACATTTAATTCTGTCATTTCGTGGACAATGACCCATTTTTGTATGATTCATCATCCAAATGAGATTTTAAAAAGTTCTGTATACTGTGTACATTGTTGAATAACTGTGTTTGTATATGTACTTTTCTGAAATACCTAACTTTAGATCACTAGATTGAAATTAGACACAAGCTGCTGTGAAGCGATGTGTAAGCGTTATACAAATTACTGTGAAATTAATTGAATATGACTCTTAACTATGTACTTTTTAATTAATTTGTGTGAAACAGCTAACGTGAATCACATGCAAAGCAATCACGCTTGAAATCCTGAATGACGCATGAAAGGGTCATTGGGGAAAATAGTAAGACTGACGGTTAATCTGTGATTTTCCAATTAGACAGTTTTTGTTTTCCTTTTCAAATTTACCAACCTAATTAACTTTCAATCTCCTCTGCATTTATAAAGAAACTCTAAGGAAAAATAGGTTATTGGCAATGGGATTTGTTACCTAAGAAGTCTTGAATTTTCTTCATAGGCATGGCTAAAAAAATGTTTTTCAAATCTGTTTCAGGAAGCAAGTTTCAAAGAAAAACTATAAGTATATGGATTGGTGTCATCTGGCTTTACTCACTGCTGTGGGCAGTGTTTCCTCTTCTGGGATGGGGAGGATATGGGCCGGAACCCTACGGTTTGGCCTGTTCGGTGGACTGGGCCGAGTATCAGCACTCTTTAAACGGCTCTTCGTTCATTATGTCTTTGGCCATCCTGTGCACCCTGATCCCATGTGGAGTCATCCTGTTCTCCTACGCTGGCATCGCCTGGAAGCTCCACAAGGCTTATCAGTCCATCCAGAGCAATGATAACCTGCCCAACTCAGGGGCCGTTGAGAGAAAAGTCACTCTGGTAAGGGCCATCCAATATCGCACACAAAAATATTAAAGGGATACTCCACCCAAAAATTGAATTACCCTCAAGTTGTTGCAAACCTGTATGAGTTTCTTTCTTCTGATGAACACAAAGGAAGATATTTTGAAGAACGATTGGAACCAAGCAGTTGTTTGGCACCGTTTACATACAATGGAAATCAATGGTGCCAAAGTTACAATCGTTCTTCAAAATATCTCGCTTTGTGTTCAGCAGAAGAAAGAAACTCATACAGGTTTGCAACAACTTGAGGGTGAGTAAATGATGACAGAATTTTCATTTTTTTGGGTGGAGTATCCCTTTAAAGGAGTAGTTCAATTTTTAAAAAAAAACTTTTGCTGATAATTTACTCACCCCCATGTCATCAAAGATGTCCACGTCTTTCGAAAAGAAATTAAGGTTTTGGATGAAAACATTACAGAATTTTCTCCATATAATGGACTTCATTGGGAACCAAACGGTTCAAGGTTCAAATGAGAGTTTCAGTGCAACTTCAAAGGGCTTTAAACGATTCAAGATTATGAATAAGGGTCTTATCTAGGACCCTTCGAGTCATGACTCTAAAAAAGATTCGTTCATTTTGATGAATGAGTTTGAACATGAGAACGCTCATCACAGAACAGAGCAAGGCGAGCATTTGTGCGTATAAAACTTAAACTTAATTTATTTTTTAAATGACCGATCGTTTAGCTAGATAAGACCCTTATTCAACGTCTGGTGTCGTTTAAAGCCCTTTGAAGCTGCACTGAAACTCTCATTTGGACCTTGAACCGTTTGGTTCCCATTGAAGTCCGTTATATGGAGAAAATCCTGGAATGTTTTCATCAAAAACCTTCATTTCTTTTCGACGGAAGATAGAAAGACATGGACATCTTGGATGACAAAGTGAACTACTGCTTTAGAAGCTTTCTCAAAATTGAAATGTCCATTCTTCATTTTCAAATATCCCTGAAAATATGGGAATATGTAAAAATAAGAGTAGTTTTTTTCTCTTTAAAAGAGCCATTTACTTTGAAAGGTTGTCTTTTTGATTTCTGTTAAGCAACTGCATGCTGTGAGGACACGTTTGCAGATTTTCAACCTGTTTTGTATTGTTACAGTGTCTGTATATAACTGAACAATGTATAGGCTACTCTTAATCCATTGTAACAACACAAAGCTGGTTAAAAACCTGCAAAACTTTCCTTTTAAGTGTTTAACCACATGCAGGGTCACAGAACATGCAAACCCTGGAGCGTTCACACATCTGGAAGCTCAACAGTTTTCCTGCTACAGTGACAGACGCCGATTCACACCCCATCTCCATCTTCTGCCACAACAACAAATTGTTTCTCAGCTGGTTTCCAATCTAAAATCATAAACCTAAGAGGAACATTTAGCTTTTTGTTTCCCAAATTTTAGAAGTGGGTAAATGTCAAGATCCAATCCCTCCTTAAAGGTCACTAATGGAAGGAAACCGATTTCAAGAAATAGCCCCATCATGTGTGTTTGTTATTTTCCAGGAACTTGCATTTAAAGTGTTTTGTATATTATATTGTTAGGGATGTCCCACCTGGAGGTAAGGGCAAAATAGTAATCAGGCATTTAAAAAAAACAAAAAATGTTGTTCATAAACCTCAATTATTAATTATTGATTCATGTGGGTCATTCTGAATTTATGCATTCGTGCCCTTTCTTTCAGACAATAGCGGTAGCCTGTCCAACATGAATCACTCTGAACTGCCTTCTGTTGTCAGTTCAAGTCTCCCTCCTGTGTTTCAGATGGGTATCCTGATCAGCGCTGGCTTTATTGTGTCCTGGACGCCCTATGTGTTCATTAGTCTCTGGACCATGTTTCACTCCGAGGGCAAAGACAGCATGGCGCCCATTGTTAGCTTGCTACCCTGCCTCTTCGCAAAATGCTCAACGGCGTACAACCCTTTTGTCTACTACGTTTTCCGCAAATCTTTCCGCCGAGAGCTACGACAAATCTGGATGTGTTGTTACCAAGGCTGCTGGGATGCTGTGAGCAAAATGACAGGAAGAGAACGCTCAGAGGAAAATAGCGGGGCACAAAAGACAGGAGAAGAGTGAACACACAATGGTAAAGGTCACCCCTAAAAATATATTGGAGAGGTGAGGAGATAAGCTTCAATGAAGCTTCAATGAAGGAAAGAAAAGTTGCCAGCTTAGAAACACTTGATCTTGGAGTGCTAATGCATCTTCAACAGTATCAAGTCTGTGTCTACAGAACAGAATAGAGCATTGCATGAATGTAGGACACAAAAATCAAGCAATCGGTTGAAAATATATTATTGTAGACCATATTTCATTCCAGATATTCTTAGGATATTCTCTACACTGTAAAAAATATCCGTGATTTTAACAGTAAAAGACTGTAAAAATGCTACAGTGCAAAACTGTTAATTGGTAAACAGAAAGTTTCCGTACTTTATACGGTAAATAACTGTGATCTAATTTTACAGTAAAATACCGTTAAATTTACAGTTTTTGAAAGTGAAAAAGAACAAATCGTTGTATAATTTACAGTGAAAAACCGTAAATTGACATTCCCACAATTCCCTGTGTGACACTTCACACTTGATGTATTTTTGTTGAAATAACCATAGTTCCTCATAGTTTTATTGTTTTTTTCTAATCAGTTATGTACATTAGGGTTTTATGTTACATTTAATGTTGTTAAATTAATGTTTATTGCATTTTTTAATTTCATGTGTGTTACCATGATGGTATTTAATGTTTGTGTGAATGACACTGTGCAGCTTCTTTGTGTAAGTATTACTTAAATAAGTAATCATGTGATTGCTCAAGTAACTCTCATCACTGCTATGATGATTGATGGTTGTCAGTGTATTACAATTAGGGTTGGGAATCATTTGAATTTGAACGATTCTGATTCCGATTCCGATTCCTTGTTTCGATTCCAGTTCCTAACGATTCTCGATTCTGATTCTTATAAGAGGCAGGGTCAAAAAGTTTAGCTAACCTTGCTAACCAACGGTCTTTCTGAAGGAAATAATCCTTTCTAAAGGAAATACTCCTTCTGTCACAAATACTCCTTTTGTCACAAATTGTGCATTTTGCCGAGATTTCGTTATTTTTAGAAAAGTGAAGCCACACTTTGGACCGCCGACGTAAGCTACTCATGTTCGACTCGCGCGGTTATGCCAACACTTCCGGTAGACGCTTCTTCGTAGGTGTTGTTCAGCGGTTTCTTCGTCCGCTCGGCGGACTGTGAATATCGAAACTAGGAATCGAAATTTTAACTTCTGAACGATTCCGGGAAAAACGAAAAGTTAGTCCCGATTCCAATCGATACTCGATTCTCGATACCCAACCCTAATTACAATGGTCTAAAACAGATATCAATAAGTTGGTAAATCAATATTTTATCAGAAAATAAAATACGGTTTATTACTGTAAATTTTAAGTTAAGTCTGTAAAACCATTAACGTTCCTACCGTATTTTTAACAATAAAGTTCTGGCAACCACAGCTGACGTTTTTACCGTAAAATTTACGGTTTACTTTTTTACAGTGTAGTTTACAAGACTGTTGGTGATTCAACACACTCCCGTGTGTTATCTGTTCACTGACAATCCCATGTTTATCTGTTTGAGCAATGTCTTATTCTTTTGTCCTTTTATCTAATCTTTTATCGCTGTCGAACCTTTTCGCTTTCGTCAGATAATTGTGAGATACTGAAATCCTTTGTGATCGGCATGTTCCTTTCAGTTTTCCATTGAACCTGTTCATTAAAACCATTTATTCACACTCTCTGTTTCTTTGTATTTCCTTCCTGTGTTCATTGTTCTTCCATAATTGATGTGAATTTTTATTTATTAGTGCCACATAACTGCAATTACCAGTGTAAGGGGCTGATCATCGGATGACATAAAGATTGTAAGAAGGGTCCTGTTAAAGGCAGTTTGCATGACTCATGCAATACAAAAACTCCATTGAGACTTGATTTAAAAAAAGAAATCACGCTCAACATGTCAAGCTGTAAGGCACGGATGGTATCTTACTGTTGGATGTAATCATTTGAAAACTATTTACAAGAATCATGTTTCCAATCAGAGTCGTCTGATGTGTGTCAGCTCCTTTAGGAACTTTCTTCAGCTGGTCACATTGGTCTACTTTACAAATGCGTTTTATGTATAGGATTAATTGTTTTAGCCCAGACTTACAATCTTAAAATCACAATCACAAATATTATTTGTAATTTTTAATATAATTTGAGAGTTTGTGTTAATGATGAAAAAATCTTTTTGGTTCTCCCCCGACCATGGCTTTTCATGACACTATAGCTTCACTGTGGATCAACTCTCTGTGGGATTTCCGATTTGTCGGCAGTGTCTTCATGAATCAGGGAGCAGATCAAAGTGAAGAGGGCTGACCAGGTCACATAGCACACATGTCCTAGCAGCTTTCCATTCCCATCACTATTATATTACTAATATCAAAGAAGTGCAAATGGATACAAGTAGTCAACAACACATGTAGGATAATGTTCTTTAACATATAATTATGCTGTGCAGTGTCTTTGATTGCATGGCGTGTAAAAGCAATACATTCATCCAGCCAAAACACCCTTATCACAAATTTATGTTTATATATATATATATATATATATATATATATATACTCACCTAAAGGATTATTACGAACACCTGTTCAATTTCTCATTAATGCAACTATCTAATCAAACAATCACATGGCAGTTGCTTCAATGCATTTAGGGATGTGGTCCTGGTCAAGACAATCTCCTGAACTCCAAACTGAATGTCAGAATGGGAAAGAAAGGTGAATTAAGCAATTTTGAGCGTGGCATGGTTGTTGCTGCTGAGTATTTCACAATCTGCTCAGTTACTGGGATTTTCACGCACGACCATTTCTAGGGTTTACAAAGAATGGAGTGAAAAGGGAAAAACATCCAGTATGCGGCAGTCCTGTGGGCGAAAATGCCTTGTTGATGCAAGAGGTCAGAGGAGAATGGGCCGACTGATTCAAGCTGATAGAAGAGCAACTTTGACTGAAATAACCACTCGTTACAACCGAGGTATGCAGCAAAGCATTTGTGAAGCCACAACACGCACAACCTTGAGGCGGATGGGCTACAACAGCAGAAGACCCCACCGGGTACCACTCATCTCCACTACAAATAGGAAAAAGAGGCTACAATTTTCAATGCTCACCAACATTGAACAGTTGAAGACTGGAAAAATGTTGCCTGGTCTGATGAGTCTCGATTTCTGTTGAGACATTCAAATGGTAGAGTCAGAATTTGGCGTAAACAGAATGAGAACATGGATCCATCATGCCTTGTTACCAGAGCCGGCTTCAGACCGCTTTTAGCAGGGGGCATTTCTTTTCAATGGGTGGGCACTAGGTAGGTATGGGGACTTTTTTCCCGATATTAGATATCCTATATTTATTATTGCTACTGCCTTTTCTGTTAGCTATTAACATGAAGTAATGCAACCCACACAATAAACACATAAAACATTACACATTGTTGCAAGACGAGCGACTCTTAAGAAATTTGATCAAGGGTTAAATAGGCCTATACAAAAAAAAAATTGCAAGACCGACTCTGACCACAGCTTATAATAGCAAAGCTAACGAACATGTACACAGTCTCTCACTGACAGAATAGCCGTTTATATGCCATCTCAATGGCGGAAGTGAGAAAAAAAAAACTAAGTTACTCATCTTTATTCTGCTATGTTCTAACATAAGCATTTACATTCGTAGCCTTAAAAAAGCATCATGTAGTTACCTCAAATAAAACCTTTAACACCTTTAACAAATAAAAAACACCCACAACATACACAGATATTATTCTACAATTTCCATTTACAAGAAAATATAGGCTTAAACACTTTCTCCACGGCGGGAGTGAGTGACATTTCAGGACAATAGGCAGCGCAAAAACTAGGCCAACTAAACTATTAGTTTCATCACGTGACAACACATAGTGAACATTACAGTACATGCCAGATAAATAGCTACACTTACGACTCGGACTCGACTGTCTTTGGTCTCGGTCTCGACTACAACACTGCACGGTAGAAGCACCAAATACCAAAGCCGGGCTGTCGTTGTCTTGCTGTATGGGGTAATCGATGTGTAAGGAGAAACTGTGGTATTGAACCAATTTCTAATTTCCATTTTTGGAGAGTTTTCATCTGTTTGCTTTGTTTTGTTTTGAATGCAGGAAGCTCGCGCGGTCGCGCCAACTGAAAATCATTTCATTCAAGTATTAACGTGCGTGATTGGGGGGGCGGCAGGGGGGGTTTCCTCACAGCGTCACACTGGTTTTTATGTTGGCTTTATTGTATTTTCAGCTAATGAGCCGTTTGTAGACATATATTTGTACTATTTCTCACTGAAATGTGAATTAAATTAAACTGATATTATTTTGTAAATTATATCATAATTCAATTTGGGGGGGCACAAAATACATTTGGGGGGGCATTGCCCCCTAATGCCCCCCCCATAGCGCCGGCACTGCTTGTTACCACTGTGCAGGTTGGTGGTGGTGGTGTAATGGTGTGGGGATGTTTTCTTGGCACACTTTAAGCCTCTTAGTGCCAATTGGGCATCGTTTAAATGCCACAGCCTACCTGAGCATTGCTTCTGACCATGTCCATCCCTTTAATCTACTGTAGTTTTAAACTGGGACTGTTCATGCTAGAGTGACAACAGTCTGGGGAGGATATAGGCCCTCCAGCTGGTGATCATGATACACATTACTTATATTGTGTTACCTCCTCCTACTGGCAATCAGTATGCTGGAGTGCTATTAAAAGGGTCTCAAGTAGCTCAAACACAGATGCATGACTCATCAAAGGAGAAAAGAGAGGATTATATTCAGTATTCAGAAGAGAGCTGCATCTTCTAGATAGTTCAAAGACAATAGAAAGACATTCCTCCTTCAGAACCCAGCATTGATGATAAGTTGCATCTATCAGAGACTTAAAATTTAAAGGTAAAGTGTGTCACCAAACAGAATTGTAGACAAAAATCTCAAATATATACCTCGAGTGCATACATTACATCACATGTGTG